GTCATCATTTAACTAAATAGTTGGACTACTTTGGTATGAAGGCGTCTATTTGATTTGCCATTTGCACAGTGCTTTCCTCTTTTCTCATCTGCTGCTAGGTCAGCAAATTCATCGCCAGTTGCTTGAGACATCTGACAATCTGAATTGACGTTCATCATTTCCATAAAAGCCTCGTAAAAGTCGTAGATTAATTTCTTAAGTCTCAGAATCTGGGTTAATTATAGGAGATCACCACCACTAGTCGTCCTAATTCGAATAAATTGACCGCAAGATGAATCTGCATATCCTTTATTGAGAATATTAAGAATCTTTATTTTATATGTTAGAACTAACGATATATATATATATATGGACCAAGCATTCCCATGTTTTTCAGTGGTGGGGGTTGAAGCCGGAAATTGACAGTTTATGTGGTGTTTTAGGTGCTATTTCACTCTCTCGCACTGCTCTCATCAAAATAACAAGAGACACCACGGATCCTAATCCGACTTCAAGCTAAGGACAGAATGCTTGGTCTATGTATATATGTCGTTGATCAGAACACAATCAATACTAGAGATTAAAAATGCCTATTACGGTCGAAGCTGGATCTTCATTGCTTTAAATAATTCAATCTTGTATTACTAATATATATTATATATGTACTTGCACATATACCATATTGTAGTCTTTTCACACTGCGCGCCGAATTGTTTTTCCCGACTATAAACGTAATTAAAACTACTCTAGTAATCGCGAATTAAATTGAGTCTCTATTGAGAATTTGATTTGAACAAATATCTGCCATGATATTTAAATGTACAAACTTTCATAGAAGTGGGTATTTCGTTATCACGATTGTTATTTAAAATTAATTTGCCGTATTAATTAGATTGGAATATTCTAAATAAATGTTTTATTTTATGGTGTCACAATTTTACAAAACTTTGTAATAAAAATTTAGTTAAAGCGAAATAATTGACATAATTTTGTAATAAATTGTTTTTTGATCATTTTAATTATTTTTTATTAATATATTCTAATCCAGATCTCTTAATTTTCTTTTTTCAGAGTATTGGCTTTATTTATTCATGCCAGATGCATTTAATGTTAAATAAGTTTTTAGATGTATTGATTGGTTTTAAATTATGCCGTTGTTAGAATTATGAGGAGAATAGAATTTACCCACGAAAAATCGTACATTCTCTGTTTCATCCTGAAAACATTTCCATATAATATGTAATGATGTACTTGCAACAAATTGCAGCACTGTTTTATACAATAACGTTTAACATTTTCTTTGACGAACTCTGCTTCGCAAATCAAGTTGTTCTATTTGTTGCTGATTAAAAAATATTAGGTCAAATTATATAAATGCGAATATATATAATTAGCATTCACTTTTGACGAGTACAGAAGGACATTGCAAATAATATTTATTTTAATAATTAAACATTGTAAAAGAGCAAATCTTTGAAGTTCGTTGTGACAGCTAAAAAGAAATTACTTTTATCACTGTGGAATTTTTGCGTTATCTATAGGTGTAAAGTTGAGAACAATATATTCACATGGTTTGCTGTAAAGCTAGCTTATAAAATGTAAAACTGATTTCAACATTACAAAATATGTCGAATTTATTGTCGTTGCAGCAATCTAAATATACATATTGATATTAAGAATTAAATTGATTCAAACTGATTAATTAATTGATATAAAAAGAAGTTATGTAAAATATTTGATACTATAATAATGTAAATACATTTTTGTTTTCTCCAAAATTTTTAAGTCTTAATCAGTTTTTAATCTTCTGCAGCAAACTTTGACTAAAATACATCACGTGTATTGTAAAAAGTTAAAATGTGCTTTGTATGTATATTTTATATTTTACATAAGATAAGAGATATAAGATGTAATATAGTACTTTTTGAAAAAATCCAACTTTATATCACATTTTTACATAATTACTTTTTACACTAAAGAGAATAAGATGCACAGTCCTAAACAGTCAAACTGGATTTTTGGTGCTTAAATGATTTTGTGTGAATTTATATGTTATATTTTCAATCCTGCAAACTGCGCGCCGAAATTAAATTTCAGTTTTCAAACTCAATCCTAACAGATGTGTTAGTCAATGAGAACAGTTTGTAAAAACTTCTTACCTTCTCCACTTTCAGACTATGCAGTTTGTCATTTATGTAGCGCTAGTCTATACCTTTCGCCGGTCTATTATTATTTTCTATGCCTCTGTTTTCCTATGGATATTTAATATTGCATAGCAAAAGAGTTATTCAACAAATTCTTATTTTGCAAGACATGCAATAATTTTATGTTAAAAGCATACTATATAAAAACGATTTATATTCTTCAATGAACGAAACATATGCGACATCGAAGAAAAGCTCCGATGAGAGAAATGACTCGATCATATTAAAATTTAACGTGCGGTTGACAACATTACTAATGCAGCTCGTAATGATGGAACGTCATCGGAAATTTTACCCGATAAAAGAAGAGAATCAAACTTGTACAATATTAAAAGACGAAGAAATTTTGCGAAACGGGACAAGAATAAGGTCTCGATAATTACGCGAGAATAATATGACGATATGGACATTCTACCAATAAACTTTAAGGCTCTGCGTTTTTGCGGCGCATGGAAAGAGCGCAAAGACGACAACATATGCGTCAGATTTTTGCGTTTTTGTTACAGGTATGTCATACACACGAAGCAGTTATATTAAAATTAATATATCATACGGTGTGTGATATATTAATATAATTAATATATCATACGGTGTGTGATATATTAATATAATTAATATATCATACAAAAATTGTGTGTGATATATAAAACGTTTCTTGCATCGGTTTGTGAATTTTGCTATGCCTGAGTCTTTCTCTTCCTCGTCAGTTTATTCATCGATTATTTAAAACTGTGGATATCTGCAGGTACGCAATTTTTCTCTTGATATATGAGTTTACGATATTCGATGTAATAGAGGTGATTCGTACGCGCGACCACGTTCAAGAGTTGACCGAAGGGCTTTTCCTGGGACTGACTTTCTTAACACTGTGCGTGAAGTACGCGAATTTTTTGCTGCGAGAGAGTGAACTGTCGGATTTGTTGGATTCTCTGCGTGTAAAAATGTGCCAGCCTAGAAATTCCATGGAAAAGCTGATAATAGAACAGCACAGCCGTAGAGGTACTCGAGTAATTCGCAGATACATATGTTGTATGCATATTTCTTCAGGGAATAGAAGTACATAACTCGTTACTTGTAACGAAGTTACAGTTACAAGTTATGTTTTTGGTAACTTTACTGGTAACTACGTTACTTTTTTTCTGTAGCAACTGTAACGGTAACGAAGTTACACTTTTTGGTAACGGTAACGAATTTTACAGTTACTTTTGTCATTACTTTGCACATGATTGGACATGATACGACATGAGCCACTTACACTGTAAAAAAATTTTGTAAATTTACACATATAATAGATGTAAAATAGATTACATGATTAATCCTGTAAATATAAGAAATTATGTAATTTTACAGAAATTATGAAATTCCCCAAAAATTATGTAAATTTGCTTTTATTGTGTAAATATATTTTATTTTATATTGAAAATTATGTAAATAGCAGGATATTTTGAATACTTTCTGTAATTATCCAAATTTTAGTAATATTACGTAATATAACAGAAATTTTTCGCGTATTGCTGTTAAATGTATAATAATATATAGTCCGAAATGTATTGTCATATTATTCTTCCTGTAACTAAACATACACATTGTAATTGTACTTCCACAATCTGCTTAGTTACAAACCAAGAAATTATTTTTATTTGCATATTGCAAATTTGCAAACGTGTGGACGTTTACAACTATTTTAGGGTCTCAAAATTATCCAGATAGTTGTAATTTTACACAACAATTTTTTACAGTGCATAGCGTTTGAGACTAGAGAAACCCCTAGGTCCGTTCGCTGTGATCGGCGGTGGTCGATTTAAAAAAAAATAACGGAAAGGTAACGAAAAGTTACTTTCTCAAGTAACGATAACTGTAACAAGTTACTTTTAAAAATCGGTAATTAGTAAAGGTCAAAGCTAACTTGTTACTTTTCCTACTCGGTAACGAGTAACTGTAACGTGTTACTTTTAAAAAGTAACTTTCCATTTCCTCAATATTGCTTTAGGTATATGTTTCCTATCATGAAATATGTATCAAAGATCATTAATGACAATTAAAAAGATCATTAAAGACAATAAAAAATAATCACCTGTTTAAATATTAACCAGTTAATTAAATGTTATGTAATTTTAGCAAATGTGGTAAATGTGAAAAAATGTGATAAACGTAAAATTTTGTTAAAACATTGTGTTTTAGCTTTTCTACCTCTTTTTCATTAAATGTATTGAATTGCAAAAATACGCAAATAGAATTTAAATTTAAAAAAATTAAACAATTAAAATTAATTGTGAGTCAATAATGTACACGCGTTCTTAATTTCTTCCTAATTGTCATAGAGAAACAAAAGATAGAAGATTAATTAAATATTAGCTTCAACTAGAACGTTTACTGAAAACCAAATATTTAACAGCTAAATGGAGCAGCATACTATTCATGATGATATCGTATATGACTGGATTTGGCTTTATGGTCACGCCAGCTCTAGAATTACTCAAGGGAGGCAAGCGCGTCTTGCCGTTGAAGACATACATCCCATATTCCGTGTCGAATCTTCTTTTATATTTAGCTACGTATCTGCAGCAATTTTTGACCCTATTCTACGGAATAATGCTTAATGTTACCTTCGACTGTCTCGTTTACGGCTTCACAATTCAAGTTTGTGCGCAGATCGAGCTGATGTGCTGCCGATTGACAGACAGTTTGAAGAACTCCGGTCGTATTTCTTCCGGACAAAATCGAGAAACAAGCGCATCGATTGTGGAATGTGTGAAACATCATTTGCTTGTGAGCATTCTAGTAAAAAAAATACGAGCCTTGTTCATGTGGACGATAATGATCTTCTTCTTCTTCAGTCTGCTCATTGTGTGTACTAGTATCTTCCTAATATCAAAGGTATTGCAAGAATCACATTTTACGTATTTTCGACAATGTGACGTACATTTAATTCTTGCAGAAGAAACTACTCAGCTTTGAGTTCTTTTCAATGTTTATGTATCTGAACGGAATGCTGCTTCAACTGTTCTATTACTGCTGGTACGGAAACGAGCTTGAGTTGAAGGTATATAAGCGCGCGTATCGTTGTAAATGGTATATGAAAATTTAGTCTTTTTGAAGATGCATTCACATGGAAAATAGAAAGTTTGGAAAGTTTTAAATCTAATCTACAATGTGCTCACTGCTTCCTGTTACTAGCTTTTTAGTACTTTTTATTTATTCCTTTTTTGTTTTTTATCCTATTTTTTCTTTCACTGAAGATAAAAGTTGATCAGCTTCGAAAGAGACAAGACGTACGTAACAAGAAGCACGATTATTGATAAAACAGTTGTAAAGAAGGATAAAGTTAAAAGGTAAAAAGCAAGAAATAAAAAGTAAAGAATCAGAAACGTGTAAAAAGAGTTGGCTGTTCACGTGCAAAAATAATTTTGCCGCCTCAGAAGTATACATATATTTGTATCTATATATCAACTAAAATGATAAATAAGAACGAAGACAATAAAAAAATTGTGTAGATATGTGTCAATAGAAGTAGGGGAAGACAATTTTGATAAAGACGTAGTCAATATTCAGGAAGCAATTTCATCACATTTGTACTATATTTTTAAGTATAATTTATTAAATCTTAGCTTCAGCTGTCTCTGGATTTGGCCACCAACGTATTATGCACGCGTTAATGCTCGTTAAGCATACCTGTTGCGAAGAATATATTGTAAATAAAATTATAACTCAATAAGGAAACAGCTTCCGATGATTATTCGAACATTATCTCATAATGGATAGAATTAATATCTCCACGTGAACAAATATAAGATCAATTGGCTAATGCTTTGAGAATTTTCTTCGCAGAGTAAAGACATTGCAACAGCTGTTTATTCCTGTGACTGGACAATGGTGACACCGCGAGAACGCAGATCGCTGATGCTGATTATGATAAGCAGTCAAAAAGGAATAATGTTCTCTTATCATGGGGTATTTGCGTTATCTCTTAATACTTTTACTTGGGTAAGTAAATGAAAGTAAGTGAAACATATATTTTATGTATATTATGCGTTCTACTTGATGCTCGCAACTCTAGAATTACTTCATTCATGTTGTTTATCAAATGTTAAACAAGAACAAAATAATTCTCGCGAGCGTTGTAAACGCCAAGTACACAAAGTGTATTGCGAAATTTATGAGGTACAAAAATTATTGCGATAATTATTTTTGTTTTGAGTTAAGATAGAAGCCAATTCCACAAATTAACATAAATGTAAATAGATATCTTTTGAACGTTTCACAGTGATGCAATATCTTATTTCCGTAGATTTGCAGGACTTCTTATTCGGCTTATAACCTCCTGCAGCAAGCATCGAACTGATCAACTATCTCATTAAATGTAATGAAAAAATAATATTTATTTTGCTCTGCATTTTTTATATCTTCTTATACAAAACATAACGCGCGCGCCGCGCGCGCGGTGCGGTATTTTTTCCATCTACATTTATAATAATAGGCTTTTTTCACAGTAAGCATAATCTATTTAAGCACATTATAAACATTTCCACGCAATGCATCGTTAAGATACATCGTTAAAAAATATGATGAGGTATATAACAATTCATATATAAAATTCTTAGATAAGAATTCTAGATAACAATTCCGTAATGTTAATACACAATTTTAGTATTCCACTAAAAATATTGCTTCTAAATATTCTGATATATTGCCGAATTATATGACACCTATTGTTTTGTTAAAAATATTCTTTTATTTTTGCTTATATCAACATTAACCCTTACCGTACTAATATGGGTAACTAGTGACCGAGCTGCAATTCCTGTTCGTGCAAGTTTCTTTGAGTCTTTCGATAATTATAAATTATACTATTTTATTATTTTCCAAAATAAAGAGTCAATATTTATTCTAGAAAGTTGAAAGTATGTTGGTAAATTTTTAGAGATTTTTTAAAATTATTTTGAAGAGGTGAAAAAACGAAGAGATTTGAAGTGACCCTTGATGGTATGGATGAGGCACCAAATTGTAGATGGTACGGTAAGGGTTAAAAAAGAGGCATTTTTCGTCATCAAGCTGATTTTGCCAGTTTAGACACGAAAGAGTCCCACTTCACTTGCCATCGACTCATCGCTTTCTTTTTCTCTTGATCGTCCATGCTGCTATAGATCAGCGAATTCATTGCCAGTTGCTTGAGACTTCTGAGATCTGAATTGGCACTCATAATACCCATAAAGGCTTCGTAAAAGTCGTAGGTCAGTCCCTTGGCACCCCAGAATCCGGGATCATCGCTGGAGACTACCACTGGCGATCCTTTTGCGAACAAATTAGCAGCAGGGTGATTCCGCATGTCCTCAACAAGACCGAGAACCTGGTTTGAGATAGGACAGACCTCTACCGCTATATTTGACTGCTGCGCAAACTTCCATAGGAGTGGGTGCTTCGTTAACGCATATCTATATAGAGAAATATCATCGATATTTAAAACCATCAATATTTAAATTTGCTATATTAATTAGGCTGGAATATTTTATATAAATGTTTGATATATTATAACTCATTTTACATTTCATTACAATTTTGTAATAAAAATTTATATATACAGCGTGTTTCAGAAATAGTTGGCTAAACTTTAAGAGTATACTCCTATTCATTCATTGTAAGGATGAAAAAAGTCATATAAACATGGGTTCGGAAACGCTTCCTTTCCAAGTTATAAACATTTTTTTTATCTTATACTTATACTTATATTTTATTTCATACTTGTATCTATATTTTATTTTATACTTGTATCTATTTTTTATTTTATACTTATATCTAATTTGACTTCTTAAATTTATCTTTATCAGTGTTTCAGTTCGGACCTTTTAATTTTTACTTTTTTTTTAGTATTTGCTTTATTTACCCATGGCCAATGCGTTTGGTGTTGAGCAAGATAGCGTCGAAGAGATTCAAATCGGTAGATTCCCCGTTCCAGTTGGTCTCACCGGAATGGAAGAAGAATGGAATGCTCGGATCAACGCTTTTCAATTTGTCTGCAAATTCGATGAGGGGTTTCCCTTTATCTTCCTGGCCGACCAAGTCGAAGCCAGCTATAAAATCTGGTAAGCGTTGCTTTAACTGCGTCAATGTTTTCAGATAGTAGTCGAATTTACTCTGGTCAACAGCACGACTTGGCGCGTATATAATTTTAGCGCCGATGAAATCAGGATGATCCTTCATAAACCTGTCGCGTCCATTATTATGTTATCTTATTCGTATTACAATATTTCTCGGCGCAGTCGCTGAATATTGGAATAACTAATAAAACGGAATAACTTCTCCGAAGAAACTTCTCGAGATTGTTAATTTCAAAATAGGAAAAATTGTTGTGATATCATGTTTAATTACTACATTTATGTTACTTACTTATTATGCTTATCTGAAGTTACAGAAATAAGATAATTTAAAAAAGGAAGCATCTTGCCTATCAACGACGTCTTTCTGGATTTGTGCTTTTTCCAACGCTCCATACGACTTGCCGTCATAACTATCGTACAATGTCGATAATGTCGCTCGTATTTCCGCGTACATTACGTTGTCCTCGTAAAGTTCCTGGAGATTGCGATAAAAGAGATCCTCGTAGGCCGGTCGATGTGATAAGTAACCTAAAGAGCCAAAGAGGCTATTGAACTTCTCCCATGCCTTGTCGACGGTATTATAATCGCTGTTCGGATTTTTCGTAATCATGGTCATGGATTGCTTGATCTTTTCATTAATATCTTTGGCCCGGGCCGGATCTTTCCGTACATTGCTCAGTAATTCCCAGTGGCAATCGTTGTTAGGTTTATTAAAAAATTTGAGATTCACAGAGCCGTTCTTAACGCACACGTATAGGTTCTTGCGATAAGTCAAATTGTTGAACCGATAGTCGAACGAGGCCATGGCAGATTCGTGAGCGTGGAGAACAGCACCTTTAGGCATATCGCGCAGAATCTTGAACACCTCAGATTTCTCGATCTTCGATATCACTTCCATAAAGTTAAACGACGGCAAAAAGGTATTACCGGTTATAAAACCTGCAGAAATATCAGGATTCCAGTATTGTAAACCAAACAAGAAAAATATTAGAATTATGCAAGGTCGCAAACTTTGAAGTCCTCGTTAATATTCATTTTTTCACTACGCTTCTATAAGCCAAGTTCTTAGCATTGATTTTCTTTAAATGGATGTTTTCCAATAAAAGACATATAATTAACACTACAACACAGAGACTCATTTTATCCTTATCTAACATTAGCAAACAACAAAAGTGTAATGGTTCACTGTGTTATACTTTATAGATTGTGCTTTTGTTGAAAAATGTTTAATATGTAAAATATTCTTTTTTGGTAAATATTATGTCACTGAGCATCACATTCGACAAATTATTTCTCATATCCGTCGTAAAAGTGGATATTCTCACATTTAGTTCACACAGTATAAGTTCATGGTTTGTGCACAATCGTTAATAACACGCAGCTGACAAATCATTAATTTATAATATGACAGCTCGCTGGAAAAACGCATATTTCTCAACATAATTTAAAGGATCAGATTATTGGAGTTAGATAATATATAAGTATGCTGTAACATAGAATTTTCTTAAAAAGAAGAATTTTAGATATATAAGCCATGATTCGTTTCATGAAAGAATTAATGCGATGAAGATGACATTATACACATTTTTATTTATGTACACTAAATAAAAATTCTTTTGAATTTTCATGTTGCAAAATTGATTTCACAGAATGACGTTTACGGATTCCATTTGAAAAAAAGAATCTAAAATAATTTTTAAATATTAATCTTTTCTTTGAATTTATTTCATCGCGAACAAGATAAACGCGGTGGTCAGTCGCGAACTGATCCCGTTCTAATGATTGTAAGTGAAAGGATCGAACCATCGTAGATTTCTCGACTTTTTGCTTTCATTAGAACATCATTGGCCTTAGCTTCGATGGGACTAAGTTCCAGATCACCGCCCAAGGACTCTTGCTTTTCATCCAACAACAGTTTCCGTCGTATTTGCCAATACGATTCACGTTGCCAGGATTTTTGCATGTGCTGTTGTGTCGATGACGTGACATCACTGGGGTACCCGAAAGTCGCCTGGCCATAGATCAAGATCGCCAAAATGAATAAGAATGTCCTAGCCATGGTCGTGATTACTGCCGCTAATTATCGTCGTTATCAAATCTTGACTTAGTAGTCACGCGACCACAGCGCCTCGAAGGAAAGTTATGCTAAGTTCTGTGTGATCGTCGCGGCTGCTCGATCTCCACTGAATGATTCTTACCATAGGAACCATCATTATACATAGAAGGAGGAACCTGACTGATAAATTCATTGGTACTCATTGACTACCTGCGTTGTTGACGATCAACGCCACATGTGTTCATTAATCATTCATACAAATCAATCTAAATAAATTAAGCGTTGTGACAGAAATTCAAATAAATGCGCGATCCCACATATGCGATTTGTGTATCGGTTTAATATTTTATGTAAATTCATGTAAATTTTTTCAGGTCGTAATTAATGAAATTTCGTGCTACAACTGACATATTTAACACGGTGATATTATGTACAAAGAGGTACAGGCTTCATGCAGCGTAGATATTATTAAAGGTAAAAAAGATCGCCTACTTTTCGCTACAGATTCATCGATTGATTGAAATCGATTTTTCACGGCGCGGCGGCGAAGAAATTTTAAATTGGCAATGAAGAGTGCATTCCAGATCAGTTGAACATCTGTCTATAAAGGCGATAAATATGGCCATTGTATATGCCAACTTTGTACACATTCGCTAAATATTGATCTACATTCAATATGAATAATTATTATGTATGTTATGGGCATATATGATATTTGCTAATGCTGGCGAACGTTTAGTTCTATATCACATCTGGAGATGTCTTAATAATAAATGTCAAGGATCGTAAGTATTCTTCACCATTATTTTATTTTTTAATACATATTAATCAGACTTTATTCTCTCATTCTTTTAATTCTAGTTGTTTCATCTTCGATAAACTATGTGGAAATTTATAAATTTACCTACTGGATAAACGAAAGAATAAAAGCATAAGAGAGTAAGAGAGTAAGACAGTTAGCTGAAGTTTACCGAAAGGTGGAACAATCCACCCATAAAACGAAAAAAAAAACATTATGAATGATCAGATATATACTTTCTTTTTAAATTTCCTTTTTATATTTCTCATTAATAAAACTATAAAAAATGTGTAAATTTATTTTTATCGTCGTACGATGTCGGAAGCATCAAATCGACATCGATTCGATGTCAATTCCATTATCATTTCTGACTGAAACACCATGATGAAAAAATAAGAATATAATTCCTAGTCAGGTATACATACATCAGATAATAAATT